CATCAGTGATTTGAAATTAGCACAAACCTGAAAGGACCACTTTTGAGAGTGCTACCATGATTCTTATGCTTTAGAGTTAGAAGTGACAGAGAAACTACGTAAATTCGGGGAGATTATTATGATAAAAACAACTAGTAACTGATGCCAAATTAGGCCTTCTGAAAGCTAAATATACCACACTAAAGTCTTATCACTTGGCATTTGCATACCCTTATCATAATGTGATTTATTTCCAATGACATACTTCTAATTTCAGTTCAATACTACTCAGTTTGTAGGATATGTCATAAAAAAATTAACATTTAATAAACATATCCTTAATTCATATGCACTGAAACTAAAAGCTATTTACTTAAAAAATACTCATTACTTCCATGTCAGGTTTGTTGAATGAAAACCTGAGCATGCTTATTTTCCTTTGGTTCCAAGAATAACTCAAGTCTAACCAAATTTGTATGAAAAGAAATTACTAAGTTAATAAAGCCTGCTTTTCCTGGCATCTCTCTATTTTTCCTACAGGACTTTCACAGAGAAGTTTACATAAAGCATTTGGTTAAAACAAGAAATATGCATGCTCTTATTTTATCACCTTCAGTGGGGAGGGGATTGTATCCCATCTCCCTTTCTTTCTGTAGTTGTTCAGAAGATCCTACAGTATACAGGTAAGGTAAAGGTTTTCTTTACTTTTCTTTTTTTTAACCCTTAAGTTTTTAGGTGACAATATCATGCTCTGGGGACCCTGTTCTTAAACAGATTACAACTCTTAAAAGCGTATATTTGAATTTGATGATCACGATGCTATTACAAAATTAAAATCACTTAGAGCAACCATAAGCATAAAAGTTCCCATCTGTCTACAAATTCAAAACTTTAGTTGATTCCTGGCTTAGAAAAATAATTCTAACCTCTCCAGTTTGTCTAATTCTAATTCACAAAGTTCTACAAACATGATACAATTCAAAGGGGAAAGGGGTAAACAAAATCTTCAATGTATTAGAAGGTGACTTTTTTCTTAAAAAGGGGGGAAGAGGAAAGAGGGAAGAGAAAAATCTTACAAATGTCAGAATTCACATTTCTGTCAAAACTTAAGTATGTATGAATGTTATTTTGAAAACGTGCTGTAAAGCCTTTGCTTGCTATAAAACCATTACTGTAGTAAAAACTGATGTTTTCTGTGACTGAAGCTACAGTCATCATATGTTACCAAGCTATTAAAATATCTCAAACTCAAAATATAAAAGCTTAAGAGTCAAATCAATAATTATTGGGACACAGTCAATTTTTAACTCTAGAAAATCTAGTCTTATATTAGGAATGACAAACCACAGGCTCTAATTCCTTCAAAGAATGTATGTATTTTAACCTATTTTTTCTTGTGCTTTCTATACTCTTTGCTATTTTCTATTGAGAGTATAGATGACATTAATGATTTTTTAGAAATTCCTGGAAATGCAATAGACTTAAAATTTCACTCACTTAACCATATACTCAAAAGATACAATTTTTAAATGGAACACAATATATTTGTCCATTTTCCAGTTTTATGTGCCACATCCTCAATTCTAACATAATCTACAATAAAATCAAGTGATATGCGTCTTGGTTATCTTTCAACTTTCTCCTTTGCGTCTCTGTAATTTAATATAAAACTTTAAGACACAGAAAATAAAAGGGGGGCAAATAAGAAATGGAGCTTTATATTTCTGCAAACTACAACACTAAAACACAAGTGGTTTTTTAAAAATACATTCACACAGGATGCTTATTAGTAAAATTAAATATCTGCCTATGAATATCAGAGAAGTAATTTGAAAAGAAAAGGCTTGGAACAAGGCAAATGGGAGGGGAAAAAGCTGGTCTCAGAACCCATTGTGCCATACCTGACTTTAACATGTGATATTCAAATGAATGTTCACATGCCTTACATCAAAGAAATGAAACAAAAAATATTCAGCTATGTTGTACAAAATTTTTTTTACATAAAACATCATAAATCTTGAACAGATTTACTATATCTGAATTCTAAAAAGTTGCCTATAGGATGGTGCTGGGATTCTGTTCTCTGCTTGCTTTTAGGCAGTGCTGTTGCTTAAAAGTTGACACCAGGCACAATATTTTAAAACAAAGTCAACAAGCAAGGAGCAGTAAGTGGATTTGAGCCTTTTCCAAATGTCAGTCCTGAGGATGCTGCAATATTCCCCATCAAACATGTAAAGCTATGAGGCGATACTGATGCCTGAGAGTGGGTGACTTGACATGCACTTGTTATAATGGCAAACAGTGCAGTTTTCCCTTCCTCAAACAACACTGTTTTAATAAATTTAAAGAACACTCCAGTTCTTAGATAAATATCAGAATCATATAGAACAGTTTAAAATAAACCACATCACAATCTAAAAATGCCCAAATTTTCTTTTATCTTCAGATAAAATATGCAACAGTGCAATGGCATAAAGCTTATTAACTTATTCTGAGAACTAGAAAGTATATGAGCATATATATATATTTTACTTTCATTGAACATTATGTCATTCACCTCTTCCTTTTTGGCTTCTTAATGCCAAAGTTCCAAATGGCATGCATTTTAACAAGACAATGCTGAGGAGAGCAGCATTTCTGATCATCTGAATTGGCAGCTCAAAGCAGGTACCACTCCTTTTACAAAGGGAACAAAGGGTGAAGGGTGAAGGGTGTGTGAAATTTGGGCAGTGGGCTAAATAAAGAGAAACCGTGCACATGAATTTGGGTTACCATGCCCCAAGTGTGTGTGCCACCCAAAACATAACACAATTACCTACTTCAACAGAGCTACTACCAACATTTACTAAAACCACATTTAAAATACACAGGATGATGAATAGTTTGAAGGAGTGCATTGGGAAGCAGAGAGAACCCAATTACACATCCTTCTGCAACAGAGTGCCTCAATCATACACAAAATAAACTTAAGCTGTTTACAATGTTTCCCAATTTTTTTTTATTTTTTTCCCTCTACATTTAACTATTAAAAAGTTTTTTATTAATAAATGGGCTCCTCTGTGGTTCATATACAATCATAAGTGAACTTTAAATTCCATTTTATACAAACATCTCAAAAAATATCGGGAGTGAAGTATGGTATGAAATATTGCTCACATTGCTAATTAACATGCGTATATGAAAGGAGGAAAATGTTTTGTTAGTGCATATACCTCCAGAGCAGAAAACCCACCCAAAACAAAAGATCTAAAATAAAACATACAGTAGCTGATTACAAAAAAAGGTAATGTCCACAAAATTAAGTTTTTCATGCTATTCTACTTTCCAGTACTATGCTTCAGGTAATCAATTTGCATGGCTAGATGTTGGATGCTTGAGGTATATAAGAAGGGATACCTGCATGTTGAGGAAAATCTGTCATCTTAAGGGTTGTTTCTTTTTGTTTATATGTTCATTCTGGTACTTAAACATTTTTAAAAGAATATTTTATTTACATCAAACTTCACTGAACTACAATGACATTCCAATTTTAATAGATGACAAACAATGCCTCTATCACTAGGCACTTTAAAAAGAGAGTTTAGGCTTTACAGAACCCTTCTGATGCAATCCTATGTGATAATACATCATCCCACCACCCTCATCCCACTACACTTACCCTTCAGGGGAAATATTTTATATAGCCTGATTAATTTACCATGGAAAAATTAGTATAAAATGACCAAAGGAAATGCATCATTTAAGACTAATAAAACAGCCTAAGATGTCAGGTTTGAAAGAGGAGACAAATTGGTTATATTTAAAACTAATTAAATAATTTAAATTTGACTTGTACTTTATATATTAGTGAGACACAAATATAGGCTATTTTCTTTTAAAATTTCATTCACATATGGAAAATTTCTTGTTTATTAAAAATATCACATTTTGAGACTAGAAACAGTAAAGTGCATGAAAAGTTTAAAATATAAATTTCAGAAAACTCTTATAGCAGCAAAAAAGCAGAATAAAGAAAAACTTAAAAACACAGACACAACCTTTTCCTGTTACTGTGCCATAATTAACATCAAGTAGCCAACGAATTTCCCCCCCCCACAAAATGGTACGCTCACTGCCTCTTGAATCACAGATTTTCAAATGGCTCCTCCTGGGCAAAAAATTCCAAAAAAAAAAAAAAAAATCCAGGATTCCAACATATCTAAAGGCATCAACAGTTGGGAATAAACCAGTAGCTTCTTAATTCAACCCTAACAGACAATGGAAACAAAGATTAAAAGCATACGATGGCCATTTGGCAGCTAGAGTCAGGACAAATGATAAAGGTTTTAAACTGGTACATCAAACCTGTCCTCTCTCCTCCTTTCCATTGTTACCTGAAAAAAACAAAACCAAAAGACAACCTACAGACACATGAAATACTTGTATGGCTTTCCCTTTCTGAAACTTTAATCAGGGCCTTTTCATTCAACATTTTTTTTTTAAACTTTGACTATAGTGGTAAAAACGAAACAGAGCAGATCCTTTTTCTGGTACAACCAGTCAGAAAAGAAGGCTAGACAGGAATAATGAGACATACCAGCCATTAATTCTGTGGGCATCCTACACATACCAAATCCTATTTTCAAGATGTATGGCAGTTTACATCTGCTATTTCCCTACAAATAAACTGGAGAGTCAGGCTTACAACACTTTGAAAAAGATTATAACTAATGGGATGGTGTGAGGGGGAGAGAATGATTCCTCAAACAAAATAACATTCGCCAACAAACTATCATGTGCTATTAAATACTTGGTCTTGAAAGCCTATTGTGCAATCATTTTAATTTCTCAAATTTTATTATGGCCAGTGGCTATATCTTATCTATGTACAGATCAAGCAAATTTAAGTGCTTTGTTAATGTGCAAATAAATTGGGGGGGGGGGCCAAAATCAGTTTTTTATAAAGGAAAACAAATTCAAGAAAGTTTTCTCTGCAAGCATGCCGTCATTCAATTTAAAACCTTATATTTATAGTTTTTAAAAAATTGCTTTTTACAAAACTGACTGGCTCAATTTGAAACCATTCAAAAGAATATATTTGTTTCCTAAAAACAAATACACTGTTGTTGTGGCTCAAACTAGTGATTTACCAATTATGAATGCTGGCTCCTAATATAATATGAAGAAAGTCCAATTTAAAAACATGTTAAATTAAAATTTTGGGTAGACAGTAATACTTTGGTTCCAGCCCTAGTGCCAAATGATATCAATATGCACAAAAACGTACAAAGTCTTATGGCAAACACATAATGAAAGGAACCTGAAGAAGCAGCTTAAACACAGCCATACTTCACTCCTACATACTTTGATTTACAACTGTACAGGTCCATAGCAACAGATCCCTGCCTTTGCAGGGCAGTACTCCACTACCTCCGATTAGGTAAGTGAACACCATTGACAAGAGGCAGGAGTGCAGGGTGGAGTTCAAGTTGTGTTAACAGTGAGAAGTGGTCTGAAGGGATGTGAGGGTGTGGACACCCAGTGATGTTGTTCTCAACCAGCCATTGAGGATCTAAAGGCCCCAGGACACCAAGCACGTTCATATGAGTCTTGGAATAGAAAATGTAGTCAATCACACCCTGGAGATTGGGGGGAAAAAAGAGAAAAATATGTACTTAGAAAAAAAAGCTATATAAACAACACTCCATAATTTGTAAAAAGCCAAGTAAGTTACCTGTACTTCTGGAACCTGTTAGATTGACTATAGGTTAAATAAGCTCAAATCTTCAATGGGTATTGTATGAAATAAAGGTAGCTCAGTAGGGAAAACATGGCATCCCACTGACACCTTGCATTTGTGCATAAGTCATAAACTGAGAAGCTGAACATCAAATTATGTCTAGGCATCTTTAGGATAGGCCTGCTTGGTTTAGTTAAATCTAACATATGGGTATAAATACTTTGGAAATCATCCTATCAGTTACAATAAGTAGAAGGATATTTATATAAACATATAGTTAAAGAACAGATATGACTCAAAATTTTTAATGAGAACCAGGATTTTTAATTATTCGTACAAGATATTCAAACATACTTGAACAAAGCCATCATAAAGCATGTCTTCAGATTTGCTTATCCTAGCTGTTTTTCCACATTTCCTTTATGTATGTAAGCTACTACACATGATTTAACTGTCCTAACTTGTTCTTTAGTTTAAAATACTCATTTTCACAAATTCTGTTATACTGTAAATTCTGGATTTCCTTGTCACTTAATTAAGGACACTAAGTAGGGACCCAAACAGATCAGTTGTATCTCTCAGAGCTAGATGATCTGTCTGATCAGTAAATCTCAAAACCAGTGCTCCTTGATTGTCCCAGGCTATGTATATATACAAGATAGAAAAGTCAAGTATCTTCCTATGTAGTTCTTGTCTAAGTCAAGAGAACATAAATCCAAGGAGCGAGAACTATTTCTACACGTGGAAGTACTTTCTTTTTTTTTTAAATTAAGACAGGGTTTTACTATGTAGCCCATGCTGGCCTCAAACTCACAATCCTTTGCCTCCTAAGTGCTAGAATAACAGATGAGCATAATCACATGTGGCTGGAAGTACCTACTTACAAATACTATGCAAAATGAATTTATCCGTACTTTAATTGGAATCATGATGAAATGGGCTACTAAGAAAAAAATTAATAAAAATTCTTTTATGTTCTGAAATTTTGGAAAGCATATTTCAGTTTGCCAATTTTCATATGGCCAAGGCCAAAGTACCAAAATCAAGGAACTTACTTGAGTCCAGGGAAGGACTTCTGTCACTAATACTCCAAGTTCAAATAGTTAAGAAATTATATGACTGAAAGGTATTATTCCTTTATTTTGTTTAATGTCTAGTTTTTCAAGGGTATTTAAGGAAAAGAATTTACAAAGGTGAGATGGTTTGACCTCCCCTTTGAGAGTTCCTTTTATATCACCCAAACACAAAAGAAATACTCTCAAAAAAGTAAACAAAGCCAGGCATGGTGGTTCAAGCCTATAATCAAAGCCACATGAGAGGCAAAGGTATGAGGATCTTGAGTTTGAGGCCAGCTCAAGCACAAAGGCAGCAAGACTCTACCTCAACAACAAGTTGTCTTATCTCAGCTACACGGGAGGCAGAGGTAGGAGGATTCTGTTCTGAGGCAGGAGGATTGTGGTCTGAGGCCTGCACTAGGTAAAAAGCATAAGACTCTATCTGAAAAATAAACCAAAACAAAAAAGGCTGGGGGCATGGCTTGAGCGGTAAAATATTCGCCTAACATGCTTGAGGCCCCAGGTTCAATCTCTAGTACTGCCAAAATAAGAAATGGAAAAAATAAATAAATAAATGAAATAATCTCAATTGTGGATATTGAATAAAGCCTCCTATATCACTTTGAGCGCCATCATGCAATCAGCTGCTAGTAATAGAAATCTTTACAAATGTGGGTCCCAAGATAGATGTTAAACACTCCAGAAAGATGTATTTAATTGGAGGCATCACTGGTACTTCTTTTCTTGATTAGAAACATCCAGCATAAAAGTTCTTATCAAAATTCTTGACAAGGCAATGTCTTTGAATTTACCCAACTATTTGTACATATGCCTATGTGGGGAGGATTCTTAGCTTTGATCATATTCACAAAGCATGTCATAGGTTAATGATTCTTAGCCAACTTTTTGTTCAAAGTTTCTTTCTTAAAAGACTGTATTTTCCCACATTATAGTCTGTATGTCTGTATGTTAGTTAAGACTGCACTGTATAAGTCTATAGAACTCGAGGAAAAAGTGAAAATAGTTTATGAGCTAGAATTATGCCAAACTTTGTAATATAGATTGCACAGGAGAAAAACTTTACTTGACATAGTAGGAAAGATGTCCTTCCTTTCTTCATGAAATGATTTAAACCTTTAAACTAAAGGTGGAAGAGGGTGAGGGGCAGAAGCAGATTTGAATTAAGCTGTTTATGCTGAAAACAAACAACACAGGATGGGGGAAAGGGCAAGGAGGTGTAGTGAAGAGGGGTTACATTGACTTAAATGCAATGCATGTACACATATAATACCAAGGCAAAAATCCCACTGAACAACAGACACCAAAAACATGAAGGACAGGAATGAAAAACAGGTCATGCGAAGGGCAGGGCACTAACAGAAAGGGAGAGAGTCAAAAAGGAAGTAAAGAAGGTGAATATAGATGATGTGCTTTCTAAACAAGAATGAACATAGAATTTTTAAACCTGTTGAAATCACCTTAAGAAAGGGCACAAAGGTAGAAAAGAGAAAAACGGAAGAGATGAATCAATTGGGGATATAATACATCTATACATGGAAATGTCGTAATGAAATTCCTTGTATAGCTATCTTAAACAAACAAAACTGTATCTTCTTGAAAAACAGAGGAAGGTAAAACAGGTCCTGTCTAGGGACTGGTACACCAGTGGAAGAGGGAGGGTAAAAGGAAAGGGGTAGAAAGATGAGTGTAGTGGAAATATTATCTACTCCACGTACTCATGCATGAAGATGGAAAAACGAGACCTGCTGAAACTACTCTAAGAATGGGAGAGTGAGGATAAAGGAGAATGACAGAGGAGGTAAGTTTAACTAAGATATATTGTAAGCACTTTTGTAAAAATCAAAATGTACCCCTAGTGCAACAATATAATTTAAAAAATGAATTAAGCTGCTTATTAAATTCACCTGTCTGCAAGTAATGTTGAGAAAGTAGTAATTCTGTTTATCTTTCAATTCACTCCAAACCAGTGCTAGATTAAATAACTCTGAATTGTAAAAATCACTTATCCAATGACCAAGAAAGTAAACAAATGCTAACCCAAGTAAACAAAACTAACAGTATCCCACTGATAAAATGTCAGGATACTGTGTTGAGATCTGTATTTGATGCTGATCACATTGTTACTTTATAGCTGATGTTACCTATCCTTTTTTACGGACTGCCTTCAAATTATTATATAAAATACTGTGTATAAACCTGAAAAGTTTGCTGTTAATTGGTTTAAATGCTCAATCCTCTCTAGTTAGTTCATTCTCTAGTCATCTTTATTGCCCCATTCCATCCAGTCAGCCCATTTATCTTCCCATATATGTTTCTCAATCCACCGATTTCTAACACTGTCCATCTGATCTCATTCAATATATCCAAGCATAGAACACTCCCTGAGCCAGGTATTTCTGGTTAACTGTACTTCTTTGGATAATGTAAATAATCCACTAAGATATTTTACTCAATTATTAACACAAGTAAGATATTCTGAAGAAACATCAACAAAGAACTTTAGACCAATTCAGATGATGAAGGAAGACAGCTTGAGATTAAAGTGCCAAATTTTGTTTTTCTGCTATACCTTGTGTCAAATTAAAGTGCCAAATTTTGTCCATAAGGGACAAGGAAAAAGTAACCTTTTAAAAAGCAAGAAATAATGTCTATTTTCTTTTACCTACTAACATACCAAAATAACAATGGTTGTAGAATTACTGAATACTTATTTAGGGCAACTTTTATTACAGGTTTTCTGAGTTATGTTGCAGGTGTATTACATATCACTATAGTTCAAGGATAGGATTTAGTCCATAGTAATCTGCATACAATTAAGCATAGAGGTGGGTGTTTAAGCTTACACAAAACAATGGTATGCTACAGGCAGACAGTACTAATTTTCAGAGCACCCCTTTCCAACACTGTGCTCAAACTTGTCATGCTGGGAGACTGGAAAAGTACTTAAACCACAAAAGTCAGCAACACTACAAGAGCTTCTTTTTTCCCAGAAAGCTAGTTGTTAAATATGTACCAGCACATCACTGCATACAAGTGATGAACAAAATGAATGGGATAAAATTATCTACTTTAATAGAAAAAATACTAAATTAATTTCAACTTCTAAGTAATTCTGCTTCCCATTTCTGGATGACAAAAGCTGATTGATAGCATCAATACTTGGATCGCCTTTCTTCCTCCTCTTACTTCTTTCTTACAAAGGAACAAACAAACGCTCAAACTGTAAAAAGGTTATCGCAGATGTAAAAGGGCCTATATTTCATAATTTTTCCTTCTCTAGGTGTCTTATACCAGCTTTCTAACATCTGTATTACTTCAGAATAGAATAAGATATTAGTGTAAATGCTTGAAATGAAAGTCAAATAGAGGTAAAATAGAAGAGCTACAGGTAGACAGAGTGATTAAAAAAAAAGGCAATGGGAAAGAAATTTAAAACTGGAATATGGGAAAATTAGAACGATTAAATGAATACACGATAGATATTAAGTACAACCACCTTTTCCCTAAAAGAAAACCAGAAATATCAATGGAAAGGTACTAAGAAAAAATTCACAATAAAAATTCATTCAAGGTGAGTTTATCTACAGTAAGTGCTCGTTACTTGGGATCTTGCCAAAAATTAGGATGAAATGGATTGGCTAGGATACATACCCAAGTGCTTTAAACAATACCTGACACAGAGTAAGCATTTTAGAAGTATTTGTTTTTATCTGTGTTATTTGAAACTTGAACAAATGAAGGCTTAACAACAATTCTCAAGAAACCAATAAAAATCACAAAATATAACAAAATTCTAATGTTTAGGTATATGGTTAGACTAGATATTTTGAGAATCTCATTTTTTTTTATTGTTGTGCTGGGTGGGGGTACACTGTGACATTTACAAACGTTCTTACAATGTAATTCTTAAAGATTATATAATTAATCATGAGTAAAGAATTTATACTCTTCTTTGTCACATGCTTACATTTGAAATAATTTCTGTGCCAGCCCAGAAACTGTTACTCACTTTGAAATCAAAGGTGTAATTGGTATAAGGCATCAAGTTATTTTCATAGGCGCTCTTAAGTTGGAAGCCATGTGTGATTCTCCCTTCTGAGCTTCCATTCTTTCCATTGCAGCTGAAGTTCATAAGACACTCATTGTACCTTAGTTCCTTGAAGTCTTTATGGTTGTCAGCTACTCCTCCATTGCTTAAATATTCCACAACACCTAGTAGAATAAAGAAAGGAACACTCACATTTAATATTTAATCTAGGTTAAATGGTAGGTTTGACAGCTAACACTCCTCCTGTGACACAGATGCACCAGATTCAGAGTGGTTTTATTAGGTTGAGTCTCATGAAATTGCTTTTTTGTTGTTTAAAAAATCTGCAATATCATATGATTCAACCAAATTGAATGTTATTTGCCTATTTCAGAACAAAGTATCAGGATCACCTAAGAATATCTTCAGTTTCTTGGTGATTCTTTAGGCTTGGATGACTTTAGGACTTAAGAGGTTGCATTCACCAGGAAGGCCTTGACCTTAAGCCTTTTTGGAGTATTATTCTAAACCACTTCCTCTTTAGTATTTACCATTCTATATGATCAGTCAACAACTTTGGGACTATGTAAATATAGCATACAAAATAAAAAATCATTTACAACAAAAAGAGATTTTGGATCTTTAACATTTCAATATCAAATGTCAGACAGTATGTCTTCATTTTGAACTAACAAGAGTTTTCAAAGTTTGACACTACAGAGAACATTATATGCCAAAGGTATACCATTTAGCCAAAAATATTAGAAGTGTCTAGAAAGTTGAAGGGAACAGCAACATTAAAAAAAACAAAAAGTGTAGTTTTGCCGGTGGAGTGACTCAAGTGGTAGAGGCCCTGAGTTCATAAGTTTCCACTAAACTGGGAAACATGAAAAATTATAACAAGCTTTCTTATGATGATATGTGAACACTAATATTAAAGTCATCTCTTTCTGTTTGTGATCTGGAATGGTAACAAGATGTAATGAACACAGTATCAGTAATGTGAGTATCTCAAAAGGAACTATCATTTACAATAAGCAAGGCACTAAGTGCTTTATACATTTATACCTCACAAACAACTCAATGAGGTTATGATGGTGTGATGATTAATTCTGATTGTAACTTGGTTAGAATGAAATGGCTAGAAAATTAGAAAAGCACACCTGCAGGTGTCTGTGATGGCATTTCCAGAGATGATTAGATCATGCGGTCTCTGACCTAATAAATGGATTCATCCCTTGATGGATTTATATGATGGCATTACTAGGAGGTGGTGAAAGGTAGGATGTGGTCCTACCTGGAGGAAGTGGGTCATGCCTTGGGCACTATATTTGCTCTGACCTTCCGGATTGCCATCTCTTTGCTCTGCTTCCTGGCATGTATGAACTGTTCTGCTCATGGAAACTTCTGAAACTATGAACCAAAGTAAATCCTTCCTCCCTTAATTTGCTTATCTAGGGTATCTAGGGTAAAAGCAATGCAAAAACCTGACTAATACCCATGGATAAAATGATTATCCTCTTATTAAAAATGAGGAAATTGTTCAAAGACTGCATTGCTGGTAAGAAGCAGAAACAGGATCCAACCCTTTAAGTACAGTTTTAGTGTCAGCTCACTGTGCTGTGCTAACAAGTGACAGCTAATTGGCTTAAAGAACTCAAATGAAATAGAAGAAAAACTTGCAGTTATAGAGTATTCAATTTTAAAAAAAAGGATTACAATGGAGGATGTGGTCAAGGTGCCAGCTGGTCTAGGGGTTAGAAAACAAATTTGCAAACAAGGATTACAGTATTTGTTAAGGAAAGAAAGATGTTTTTAGTTTGGTAACTTTTATGAGTATTCCATGTATAGGCATTTGGCTTATTTTATAACTAATGCTGAGTGATTATTTTAAACAGCCTAATGGAGGCCTGAGCTGCAGTTCAATGACAAGAGTGCTTGCCTTGAATGCACAAGGCCCTGGGTTTGATTCCTAACACTGAATAAAAATAATGATAATATAAAAAATTTAGAATGTGTTTTGATAAAAGCAAAAGAGCAATACTTTCATATTTTAGATTTGAAATTTAGAATCTAAAATGGAGATCTGAGTTAACAGATCTAAATAACAAAGATCTAAATAACAAAAACCTAAATATAACAAAAGATCTAAAACAACAGAAGTTTGGACATAAAGTAGTTTAGTGGAGGTCAAAAGTAAGATGAACTCCTAGGAGAATTTTGGTCATTCTTCTATACCTAATAAGGGTATTCAAATACCATTTAATGAATTCACTGAAAATTTGTCAAAGTTATTAAACTAGATAACTACCTGTGATGAATAACTTCTGGCTTCCCCTTTTCTTCTGTGTTCTGTACCTCAGGAGGCTGATCTTTATTGCAGTAACTACAGAGCCTCCCTCCCCCCAACTTCTAGTTGGATTTGGTCAGTGAGCAGAACTGATAGGAGATCAAAAGACAGGAACAGAGTGAGGAAGGGGTATATTACCCCCTGATTTTGTTCTTGTTAGTTTGGCCAGCACCAATCTTTTCAATCAATTCAAAGCCACCATTGCTTTACTGGGTATCACCTATAACTATAACTACTTTTTCCAAGTTCTGAAGACAGTTCCCACGATTTTTTAAATTCTGTGGTAAAGCAGCCCAACTCCCCTAGTGGCACTATACTGCAGCATTGTTTTGTTTACCTTAAGCCTGACCACACCTTTGAAAATAGTTTCTTTATTAAACTTTCCTCATTTACCCAATGTCCCATTCCTGGAATTCTCATTGATACATTCCCTAATTTAAAAGAGAAATTCTCCATTCAATAGAGTGGAACTAGCTGGCCTTTCATCTGAGACTAAAAGCAAAATCAAAAGCAAGGAGGAAATGTTATAAATACCTGAATCTGGCAATGAGTTAAGATCTGCACATAGCACCAGCGGGATGGAATTAGGATCTGCAGTTGGGCTGCCAGGCCTACTTGAGGCTTTCTCCAGAATGTTTTTAACCTCTGAGACAAACATCATGGTCTGGATAAGTTTCACATCAGAATACTCTGGATCCCAATGCATGTGGGCATTTGCCACTATAAGCAGCTGTTTGTCTGCAGCATGAATAGGCTTCATACCTGAATTTAAACATTATAAAAAAGATATAGAAAGTTATGCTTTTAGTTTCAAGAAAGGTGATATCATGAAAGTTTTCTCAAAGAGATCCACGGCCATTATTTTTTCTTTTCCATTAATATATACCTTTCATTTTAATCTCAAGTAGTCTTAGAAGCCAAAGGGGCCAAGATTCTAGCAATAATAATATGGGGATTACTCTTCTAGAACAAGCTGACAAATGGCAGGCTATGGGCTAAACCTGGGTCACCACATTTCTGTATAGCCTGCATGAGCAAGGCATAGTTTTACATTTTTAAGTGTTCTACAAAATAGGCTGTGGTTAAGGCTGTATGTCTTAAAATATTTACTATCTAGAATAGTATACCTACCTAGCATAAAATGTTTACTATCTGTCTAGACCTTTACAGAAGAACTTTGCAGATCCCTACTCTATATGCCTGTTAGGAATTATATTACTGATGTAATCACTGTTTGGTTTTAGTACCATAAATCTGAAAGCACTTGTAAATACCTCTGCCATTTAAATAACACAGTAACCTAGTGAGACAGGTTTTCAGTTATTTGAAAATCTTAATTTAAATTCTTAATTAAAACCTTAAATTCTTCTCAATGTCAAGTTCTTAATCCTCTTATATTTCATGATCTTAACAGTGACAAGTTAATAATAAAAGTCAGTATCATCATATTAACCCACACAAAATAAAATAAATTTGCTAGTCAAACAAATTGTCACACATCCAAAGAAAGTAAGTGAGAACTGGAAATTAGTGTGTGTTATCAAGGGTCTTTTAGACCTGACTTTATTATTATTTTATTGTAGTCCTGAGCCTATCAGTAACTTACTGTTTTAGTATTAAGATTCATTTGGAAGATGAGATATGTAACTACAAAATCTCTAAGATTATTTTCTTTTAAAAATTCTATTGAAAACAGATATTAACAGTATTTTCCAATTGTTGGACAATATAGCACATTAACACTTTTAAAAATTAAACTTAAGATGTGCTGACAGAAAGATGTCCCTAAAATATTCAAGGTGTAAAGTTCAATATGCATGGTGACCTCACTTAAAACTATATGCATATATTCTATATGTTTGGATCTGTATAGAGAAATAAGCAAGAGTTATCTTACAGAATATGATTTGGATGAGAGGATTCTTTTTATATTTATATGCTTTTGGATTGTTGGAATGTAAGTGAACAAATTTAATTTTTCTGTTAATTTTCTAGAAATGTCTCTTAAATTTTTTCTATTGAAATATAAACTCTAGAAAAAAAGACCTGTTTTTCCCAAGTATGCTATTTTGGTAAAGCTAAGTTTCTTCTAATTTGCCAAACTATAATTATCTTCATGTAGAGAAACAAGTAACTGAAGTAATCTGTCATATGTGACAGGAGTCAAAAGGCCCTTTGATAATAAGGTATTTGCAGCCAAAATCGTCTCAGCTATCTTCTTTTGAATACAAGTTTCATAGTCATTTCTTCTGGTTATAGATCATAAATTCACTATATTATATATAAAAAATTTGCTCCATCATAGGAGTCTTTAGCACTTTCTGTATTACTAAATTTCCCTTCTAGGAGGACAAGAGATACTTATCTTAGAAAGTGGAAATATCCACTGTATAATTTAGAATTATTCTTCTGCAAATTAAAAGGAGAGTAAAATGGTAAGAGAAAAAAATTTTATTATACCAAAAAGAAGAATGGGATTGGGTATGACATAAAATTTAAATGGAGAGGCTAAAAAAGAAGACTATCCAAAGTTTCATATCAAGGATTGACTTTGTGATGTGACAGATACACTGAAGAATGGGGGAAATGGGAAGTATTAAAATATGCATAGCCTGAATAATTCAACCACTAATCAAGGCAAGAATATTTTCTTCTGCAAAAAATTCAAGGGGAAACAGAGCCCCGATGTGGCCTCACCTTCTTCTTGTTTATGCTAAAAATAAACTAATATACAATGAAATGCTCAAGGCAAGCAGAAAGGGTAACAAAAGATCTGGATAGTACAAAGTACATAATGAGTTTCTGACTCTGAAGGAAGTTATAAATAATCTAAAACACAGAAGACAAGTACCACAGAGATAAAAGATCCTGTTCTTACCTTGATAATGACTGAGATATAACAAAGAAATTAAAGAAAACAAGCCATGTATTTAAGCTCAAAGACAAAGGATTTGCATTCAAGAAGCTAAAAATATGGCCAAAGAGGACCAAGTCATTATAATTTCTAAATTTGACTTAACCAAATATTCCCTATTTTAAAGAACATTTAAAAATTAATGGCATATTAAAAAGACTACAGAGATTACCTATTAAGTAAAAGAAGACTGATAGAGACTGTAGAAAATCTCAAGAAATTCCAAAAAGAAAAAGAAAAAAAAATAAAATAAACAGGAAATGCCAAGAAATATCTGATGTGTGTGTGCTTTTGTTTTGTTTTGTTTGGTACTACTAGGATTTGAACTCAGGGCCTCACACTTGTTAGGAAGGTACTCCACCTCTTAAGCCATGCCCCCAGCCCTTTTTTGCTTTAGTTATTTTTCATATAGGGTCTCACATTTTTGCCTGGGCTGACCTGTCCTGTGATCCTCCTATCTATGCCTCATGCATAGCTGGGCTCATAAATGTGCAGCACCATGCCCAGCTTGTTGGTTGAGATAGGGGTCTAACTTTTTACCTCTAACAGTGATCTTCCTGATCTCCACTTCAAAACAGCTGGGGCTAAACTGCATACTGCCTTGTCTAGTCCTTTATGATACTTTATACAATTAGTACTATTTTCCTGTCCACCTCCCTTAAAGTTCCTCAAAAGACAAGAAAATAACTTTGCAATAAACAATAGTAAGATCCTCTTCACGTGCTTTGAGGTAAGAAAACTTGGGATGATGTCTACTTTTAGTAAGAATATTTTAAATTGCACTCACCTGCTCCAAATAGTTCTTTGTGGACCTCTAATACCACAGCAACTCCAATGTTATCTTTTGTCATCACTCTGTTCAACATAGCTTCAGATCCATCTGAATTAGCCATTGCTACTTGATTAAATTCCACTGTATGCTTTTGCACCAACGTAAATCTAAAAGGTACAATATGTTACTTAACAACGATTTAGGTGCTTAGACTGTCATGCTAAAAGACATTTAACATTTAGGGGACATGAAATACAGACACAGCTTGATCATCTGTTATTTTCTAGCTCTAAGTGGCCACATGGCACAGTTCTGATGAATGAGACATAAGAAATTTGTTTCTATAAAAATTTTCTTGGTAGTTTTACCTAGCAAATATGACATACATCTTTGCCACTTCTAGCTAGTGCCTGGAAGAATAACAACCACCTTGTGACCATGCAGTAGAAAGCAAGAAGGGGAAAGAACCACCTAAGGATGGAGAAGCTGCTAAACCAGTTCTGGACTGCCTATTTCTACACTTCTTCATTATACTCCCTTCATTTGCTTAAACTAATGTTTGAATTGTCAGCTATTTGAAGGTACACACAATCTTAACTAAGTCATCAACCTAATCAGTAAGAACAGAATAAAATCTATGCTGTTTACAGTTTTATTCCCATCACATCAAGAAATTTGTCAAGAAAATGAAGGAATGCAACCTTTATCTCAGCTAAGGGGTATCAGATTTTTTCCAACTAGCCTTTACTAGAAAACTACAATTTTGTGTTCATAGAAACACACTGTTAAATGAACAAATGGCTCTGACTGTAATTATAGTTTCTGCACTAATAATACTTCCTTTGGTTAGTGCCAAATTATTAGGGGTTACAGAACTGTAAGATTTAACAGAATTAGTCTAGAGCCAACATGTAATCGCAGTGTGAACTTGGTCAAGCAATTTAGCATCTTTTAGACAATTTTATTAATGTTGTGAAATATTTATAAATGATCAAGATCTATGAAGCACACTAACTTTCACTGGTTATTAAGAGAAGACATCTTTGATCTTATAACAGCCCCTCTCCCCATTTTTCTCCTAGTTTTGCAAACAGAACCACGCACATATCCCTACAAAAATATTAAAAGCTTATTATGGCACAGGATACTAAACTAGATGAAATACTTCACTTCCTGCTCCAATGCTGAATGTCTCAGATGTGCTTTGAAGTGTAAAGGGTCTGGTCATGTGACTACTTCTAAAGAGTCCTTAAAAGGGATAGTTTTAAAGCTCTACTGTCAAGAGGTGGTCTTTAAGCTGAAATAGGAAGAGCAGAGTAATCAAGGCAAAGAATGCAATTAAGAGTATTTCAGGTAGAAGGGAGAAGTGAAAGGTCCTGAAATAGCAAACAGTTTTGTAAGTTCAGGGGTTAGAAAAGAAAGGAAAGAGGTATGAAACAATGTTGAAGATGAGAGGAAGGGGAACAACTAAAAATTCTGAACAAAAACATGGTATTATTTGATTTAGATTTTCTAAAATCACATTAGCTGCTTCGTGGAGAATAGATTACAGGGGCCCAGTGGAAATTAAGAGGCCAATTACAAAGTTTCTGAGCTTCTTTGAATGATAATGACGGCTTGGATGAGCACAGGAGAAAAAAAGATGAGTGGGCAGACTAACAATACATTCCACAAAGAGGAGTGACCATTCTCCACTTCAGAATTCAAATCTCTAGTGATTCCCTATTTTTATAAACACATCAAAGCATTACTATATTAGAAGAAGTCACTTAAAGCAACCTGTTTTATGAATGTAAAAATGTGACAACAGAAGGTATAGATGATAAATCATAATCAGTCTCAGTATCCAACTGATTTCTGTATTTTGTTTTGGTTACAAAGTATTAATAAAAATCCTTATTCATACAGATACACAGATGTAAGTAGTAAATTACTTGTCTTATACACAGAAAAGCCAAATAGGCAAGCAGAAATATGAATCAGAAATTTGCACCAAAGCAAGCTAACTAAGCAGCACACTAGGAACACGTCAGTGATTTCATTACAGTTCAATTATTTGTATTTAAGTTTTGAGATCTCTTCTAAATATTCACAGTATTTCTAAGGTTTATTTATAGGAACCTAGAGTTCTACAAGAGTGTTTAAAAAGTCCTGTTTAATAAAATTATTGTTATTACTGGAATAATTGTACTTCTACAGTGTCAGGTCACTATTTTGGGAGAGGAAGGACTAGAACAAAACTCCAATGATTAGGAATGTCTTCACTAATTAAAATTTGCTTTCCTATATCTTTCTTCTATTTTCACCTTTGAAACCTAGACTTCAATCTTTTCCTTAAAGGAATATGGAATAAATCTAATTTTCTTCCATGTGTCATCGCTTTATATGACAATAGGTGTCAAATACTCTTCTATCCCCAAGTCTTCAAAAACTAAATGGTCAATTCTTTGTATGATATACAATGTTAAAGTAGTGACTGATTTGAGCAGAAGTTTACTTAAAGGTGCATACTCAGTCTGGACGTGATTTGTCCCCAAAGGATTCATGTGCCAGACGCTTTGTTCATGATGATACAAGAGATACTGGAACTTTAAGAGGGGGAGCCTACTGAAGGCTCACTGAATGCACTGTCTCCTCAAGAGGATAAGGTAGGTCAGTTCTTTTGGGACCCTGGTTAGTTTTCACAAAAGGGCTGTCACAGAAGAGCAAACCTGGCCTCTCCCCAAGCCTCTCTTTGACTTCCTATTTCACCATGTGATCTTTTTCTCTTATAGGCTAACATTGATGCTATACACCCTGAGGCCTTCACCAGAGTGCTATACCCCTAAACCTCCAAAACTGCGAGGTAAATAAATATCTTTTCTTTATGAAGTACCCAGCCTCAAGTATTTTGTTATAGTAATGGAAAACAAACTAATACAGTACAATACTTAGAAATAGGCATAAATAAATTACTGTCATTCTGTCTTACTATTTTTGTTAAAGACTAAAGTTGATCTTTGGAAACAGTCATATTAATTATAAGGCACACAGGAACTAATGTATACCTAAAACTTTTTAGGTCTTTTCTCTCTTAAACCAGATCTTCTCAGTCCTCCATTTATAGGTGCATAAAAACAAAAGTGGGAAAAAATGTTTTATTAAGTACAGTAGAGATTTGCAAACAAGGAAAAATATAAAGAAAATTAAAAGTATAGCCAATACATCCATTAATTAATTAATGAACTGATGTATTTCCCCAGTTTCTTTTCTACACCTATGTACACAAATATTTCCATGTAATTAATACTGTTTTGCTTCACTAATGAACATTCTGTCAGAGATATTTCCCTATAACACTATTCTCCAAAATCAATTTTTATGATCATATTATGGTCTACTATATAAATTCACACTAAATTAAGCCAGGTGCAATGCTGCATGCCTGTTGTCCCAGCTACTTAGTGGGCTAAGGCAGGATGACTGCTTGGGTCTAGAAGTTTGAGGGCAGCCTGAAATCATAATAAGACCCCCTCTCTTAAAAAAAAAAAAAAACTGTGAAAGAGTCACCATAATTTAAGCACTTAATTATGTTACTATTCTGATGGGCGTTTAAGTTACTTCTGCTATCAGCTAATGATGTACTTACACTTAAGAAATTTTGTATTACAAGTTGATTTTCAATCCCAACATATTTTTCTTATTTCTACTCATAATCCAAGAACAGCAGGCTTTACTTCTGTTAAGTATCATTTTAGCTTAGGTTTATTAGTTTACCCATTCAGATATTAACAGCACTTTGAAACATTTTTTCTGACATGTTGAATATCCTTGCCAGCTTTAATTAAATGTAATTTAATTGCATTCTGTATTTTTTCAGTAATAATAAAAGTTATCCATTATTCTGTATTAAATTTATTCTGTATTAGGATCTGTGAGAGACTCCTCAAGTATATTAGGTCTTAATTTGCACATGGAGATGGACAACCCCTTCAGGAAATGTGTCTGCTCTTTGTTTACCCAATGTCACATACTCTGTGAGCACATGCATCCAACTGCAGATCAAAAGCAAAAGATAAAGAAGTTGGAGGTGTGGCTCAAGTGGTAGAGTACCTGCCTAAAAAGCATGAAGCCCTGAGTTCAAACCTCAGTACCACCAAAAGTAATAAAAAACAACAACAAAAAAAGACTGCGGATTTGACCCCACAATGACTTAAACTTAAGTGGTAGAGCACGTACCTAGCAAGCTCAAGGCCCTGATCAATGCCCAAACCACCAGAAACACACACCAAAAACAAAACAACAACAACAACAAAAAAAAAACCAATTATTTTAAACTGAATCCAAAATGTAATTATTGAGTTTATGAGTGTCTCCAACTTTCTTCACTAGTGTAATTTATGACTATGCTGCTTACTTCTAACTTTTAATCTTCTTAGTGTCTTTGGCTTCAAAAAGTATAGAAAAATAAACTAGTTTTCCTCAACAGGGTACATATTTCATTTTAACTAACACTGCCTTCCTCGACACTTAGAAACCCAAAAGAATTGGTTTATAGTTATTTTTTAGTTGTTAATCCAAGGCACCATGTCTCAGTATTTAAATCTTAAAACTTGTCTTTCTTCCAATACTTAGAATTCATTTAGTATTGTTCTCTATGGCTGGTACACTATGCTATAAGCATTACTCCTGATATTTTATTCTAAGAATTCTCTGTATAATAACCTTTTTGAAAAATCAAATACAAGAAAGGACATATAGTATAGATTGACATGACCAAAACCAAACAAATAAAAAAAAAAACCCTTTACATGATTAAGAAAGATTCTGAGGTTGAATGTTTTAGTACAAAAACATGTCCAAAACTAGCCTTCCAACAAAGAAACAACCAGTCATCTAAAAGTAATTTGATGGGCTGTCATGTGACTACACTAATGCCAGAGAATAGTAAATGCCAACTGTGAGCAACTACAACAATCTATGGGACTTAAGTAATACTTCCTCCCCAAAATTATTTATAAGTGAAAAGGAACAACATAGCACACTGTCAAGGAGATGGTACGACTGCCCAAAAGTTAACTCAGACCTCCCGTTTCTGGATCACATCTCTGCAATCTTAAAACCAAACCGAACAGTTCTTATTGTATAACTAGTATAAAATTTTATAGAATATATCCTTGAGTCCCTTTAATCACAAGGGTGACAGAAGATAACTAGAAAAGACAGATTAGGAAAAATAGGGAAGAAAAGTATATAAGCACTGTCGTATATTGATATAGATCTTTTAACCAATGAAAGTACTTCCACAATCTTTATTGTTTTAGTCCCAGATGAAACTTCTGAAGTTAGATGAAACTGTATTATAATCTGTATTTAAAAGGTAAAGGAACTATGGCGCAAAGCCAGTTTTACAGTCCGTCTTGAAGTAATGGGCAGTCAACATTAGAAGCCAGAAATCAAAACCTAATTTTTAAAAGGATCACACAGACCAATTCTAAATGTAACTACTATCTGTGATGAGAAAATTCATAACTCAGACCAATGAGATGGGAATATAACAACAGTATTTTTGAAAAGATACTATTAACATTGTGGAATGATACTATAACCTTTGAATGCTCTTTTGCCCAACAAAAAACTACCTGTATCAATGTAAGAAGAAAAAACAAGGACTTGGCCTTATCTGGCATCTGAGACTGGAAGCAAGATAGATAGGAAGCAAGGACTAAGTGTCATAACAATTGAAGTTCCCAGTCCTATAATGAAAGGCTGCTTCTTCAAACTGTTATAAATTACTGTTCTCATTTTTCCTCTTCTCCTTGATTTAAAATAAAGCATTATCAGACAATCAGTACCTCATAAACAATAGGTAATTCTAATATCTAGGCATAGTTTCACCTCCACTTTTCCCTATTTTGGATATGTTCAAGTTGCGTATCTGGCTCTGAGACTCCATTTAAACTAAGTTAAGTTCTATAGAACAAATCATGGCAAAAAGGATTTAAATCCAGAGTTGGAAAAAAAAAAGTCTGCCTATAACTCAGTTTTTATACACATAATGTATATAAAAATACATGTATGTAATTTATAAAATGCTTTATACAGCAGATAATACTTGAGATCAAGGACAAAGCAAAAGTTGATTGCTAACATCTTATCAATAACAATTTTCTTTTCTGGTGTCTGTATGCATATAATTATCAAAAAATGATGTTTATAAGGATGTTCAAAAGCTACAGCCAAATTGTAAGTTACCTTCTGAGTTCTTTGAAATTAAACTCGATGAGCGAGAATATAACTCTGTGGTAGAGCATGTGCTCTTCAGAAGGCCCTCAGTCTGATCTTCAGTGCCCCCCCAAAGTAAACTAAAATATTTTATTGTGTTCTACTTCTCTGAATATGGTAGTCTGTGTCCTAGCCTTCACTAAGCAATATTTCCTCTAGCCTTTAATCATGGTGGGTATTTTGCTACAAATAGCAGTTATTATACTTTTTATTTATCATTGCTTACTCTGTAACCAGTTTTTCATGAAGGATGAAACAGTCATCAGTGAGGATTAGAAATTATTAGATACACTTTGTTTAGAGAGCAATGAGACTTTGAGAATGCCTACAAAGAATCAAAGTACTCTTCTATATTTATCTTTTGACTTTGTTCATTTTGTAAACAAAACAAAAAATTATTGTAAAAAGGTAAGAACAGACAAAGAATAGATCCAGAAAGAGTGATTCATTCAAGATAATACAGCTAAGTAAATAGGAGAAACATTGGGATTCATGGTTTTTTTCTCTGTGCTGTTATCTCTCCCATCTGGAGAATTAAGGCAGGATAGTGTGCTTAGTGTTAAATTCCAAATAGTTGGGCATGGGATAGTTAGCTAATGTGACAAGGATAAGTATTTGGTATTGGAACAAGAGAGTAGTTTTATTCTATTACAGGAGTATAGTCCTGCCATTCCAGGAAAGAAGTGCAGAAGATGTGTAATGAAATAATTTATCACATTCAAGTCTTCATCTGCTGGAGAATTCATGTTACTATTTAGGAAAACCTGAGTTAAAGAAAGGAAGAAAAACAGATGGTGCATCTAAATATTTCCTATGTAATCATTTCTTAAATAGTTCACAGCATTTTTAATAATTCAAGAATCATTTTACAAATACCCAGTGTTTAAAGTTTCCTAGATTACAGTTGCTAAAGTTATGGTGTTTCAGAGAAATTTGTATATGAAGATAGGTAACAAATATCAAATTCAAGACAATTTTTCCAAATGAGGTAACCTTACAAGAGGTACAAGTAATACTGGAAGCTCAAACAAAAAGCCTAAATATTGCATTTTTTTATAATGGTTAAGAGCACAGACTATTTAGACAGACTTCTGTGCACACAGAAGCAAGTGACTCAAGAAGTTTGTGCCTTGGTTTCACCTATTTAAAAAACAAAACGAAGAAATAGTTGTATACCTACTTCTTAGGGTTGCTTTTAAAAATAAATAAGGGCCTGATATGTAATATACACTACAGATATAGTAGCAATTCTTATTCTAAAACCCATAAAAAATTACAGGATTTGTTTAGTCTGACCTCAAAACCTATAGGGTTTTACACCAAATATTAATCAAAATTAGATTATCTCTATTAAAAATTCATGGAAAAGAAATTAGGCACAGAAAAATGAGAAGTGGGCCAAATATCTTTCAAAATCACTGAATCTGTTTACTGGTAAGACTGTATCAGAATAATATTCCCTGGCTTCATTATACTGGGGAGTTAAGTAAGGAATACTGGAAAACAGTCATATGATGTAAATACTTACCTATAAGTAGCTGATTTCTTATCAAATGTATCGAGTACAAATTACTAGCCATAGGATTCAATCTCTACCAGACTTTTCACATTTATTTTCCATCTCCCAGTCTTAATCTTTTAACTCCCACTTCCAGAAATTCTGTGCCTCTCTTCTATTTATACATTCTCTCTTATGTATACCATATTATATTGTGCTTGTCCTATATGCCTATCTTTTCCTAATGGACTTGAGTTTTCAGTGAAACCAGGAACTATGCCTTATCTACCATGCCTAGCACAGGACTTGTCACAACACAAATGCTCAGTAAACACACAGTGGATAAATGATTAAATAAATGCATGAAATGTTAATGGAAAATGATGAAAAGGTTGATGAAATGAATGATTCTGAAAAAGGCCAACTACCAAAAAAAAAAAAAATCACAAATAAACTCCTACTATTTATTATTACAAATGTTAAAAGGTGCCACTTTCACTTCATAGAAAAACTAATATTTTACTTTGTGAAAATATATTTTAGAAAATTAGAAGACCATATACAAGTCTATAGCTCTTAAAATTTGCTAGTATGACAATAAAAAACAATCTACTAAGCATCACTGTTTCTAATACGCAGCCTAATAAATAAACAATTAACAACAGTTTTAGCTTCCATAACACTTGTTTTCTAGCTTTTTATTAATTTTAGGCTCAAACCAAAGACTACTTTTAAATGTGTGATAATTAAAAGAAGTTTACATGATTGTACTTTGTTTCCTTAACTCACTTTTCTGTTTTGAAGAATATTGCACAACCGTCCACATGCTTTCTCTCCTGCTCAGACATAATTTTGGCACGTGACTTTGGAGAAAAAAATCCATCATATCCACGCTCCTTCAATGCTGGCAGAAAGAGAGTGAAGTATTGCTCTGTTTCTACTTCCTGAGATGAAAGAAAACTGGTTATCTATATTGATTAAGGCATAAATAAACTAAGCATTATGAGTACGGTGTGATTAAGTTGAAGCAATTCATGTAACTGATATTATCTACCTTACCTTATTGCTAGCAACTACATTGGACAATGGTAGCATTTAAACATGAAGGAAACAGAAAGGTGACATGATTTTCTCATGTTCATGTAACTAGTTAATAACAGGAGTAGGATTACATCTCCAGTCTCTTGACTCCCAGAATTCATTCCAATTTATTTCACTTCCTCAAGACTAGTAATTAAAGTATGTACAGCATATGATAGGTTAGGTGGTAGGGAATAGTAAACTTTACATAATAGGAAATTTTTTAAATTACTTATTCTTCTGAATCATAGTGGAAAGTAATGATACCCCAGAATGAGAAGCATATAATCTATAAATAAAACAATCTACTTTAACAAAGGTTCAGGTACCTGAATACAGATCATCCAATGGTCTCTGTTACTTTCATAATTAAGTTAGATTGGTTTTTTTTTTGACCAATAACATTTCCAACAAATTTTTCCAAATGAAATAATCGAATATAGAAAAAATGATTTATGTATGAAGATGCTCTAACACCATGATTTTATAATAGCAAAAACCTATAAACAACTAAAGGTCTAACAGCTAAATCAATTACTATATATTCATATCAGTAATTGTTTTTGAAAAATTTTAGTGACATAAGAAAGCATTAAGTGCAATAAAGTATTCTAATAGTATAGCACAACTTTATTTTGAAAATATATTTGTAAGTGAATAAAAATATATATAAAACATATAAATACATAAAAGAAAGTACGCCAGAAATTTTAACAAAAGCAACTATCTTTGTGATATGGGAGTATTTTCCTCCATTTTTTCCAAAATTTTCAACTTTTCTAGAATTAACACTTTAACAGGAAAATGTATCCTTAAATTATGCTTCATCTTTCAAACTATACTTAGGAGGGTGTAAGGCTATTGCTAGACAGATGAAACCAAAAGGCAGACAATTACAACAGCCTAATATACTTCTTCCTCTTTCCAATTCTGTATCAATCCCAATGTTTACAAAATTTAATGTCTGAATATTTTTATTTTTTGTTTTGTCCCAGGCAACAAAAAAATAAATTGCTGCAAAAATATTTTAGTAGATTGGTGCGATGCTCACAGCTATAATTCCAGCTACTTGGGAGACAGACATCAGAATGATCACAATTTGAGGTCAGCTTAGGCAAAAAGTCAGCAAGACCTCAACTTAACAAACAAATAAGGCATTGTGATACGTATTGTAATCCCAGCTATGAGGGAGGCATAAAAAGGAGGATTACAGGCCAGCATAGGCAAAAGCACAAAACTGTATCCAAAAAAATAAGTAAATAACTTAAGCAAAAAGGTCTGGGGATGTGGTTCAAGTGGTACATGCTTGCCTAGCAAACACAGGACCTGAGTTCAAACCCCAACAGTGCCAAAACAATTTTTTAAGTCATTATTTTCCTTCTTAGAATATGCTGCAAAGAAAATGTGTGTAATGACACATAAAAATTTTAAAGCATCTTTAAGAAATCATAAACATTTGAGGAGATGGATATGTTAGTAAGCCTGATTTAACTAATTTCCACAGAATTTATACATCTATTAAAATATCACTCTGTATCCCATAAATATAATTGTCAAGTGAAAATTTCAAAAACATTTTAAGCATTTAATTTGCTTTGAAAGTTGCTAAGAAAAAATTAATAAAAACTACTCATATTTTTTTGCCTAGTCACTAGCTAAATGTTGTAAAGACGTGATAAAACATATTTCATAGGAACACATTTTTTTTTTGGTTAAATACTTTAGCTAAATGAAGCATTATTAAACAGAAGACTCTAAGAGCCCCCTCTCCAATTCAAGGCTATATAACTTCCACTCCTGGGCCCTTTAAGCTGCCTTTTATCAGTAGTTCACCCCCTGGGAGACTTAAGCCCTTAAGAGGTTTTAAAGGAAGACAAGAGGGATTTTTAAGAATTATTCTCATTATTTCAAAAACCTCAAAAGACATTATACATTTCTCAAAATAAAACTGTATGAATTAAATACAGAAAGAAAGGAAAAAGAAGAGTCCAAATTTCAGAGGTGGCTTATAAAACAATGTAAAATGTATGATTTATAGGGCAATATTTAAAAATGTTTATCTTTAATCACTTCTTTTTCCAGACTCTAAGTTAAATTTATATTTCTAAACGACTGGCAATATTTTGCAGTTTCCTCTTTCAACACCACTGATTTAACATGAGGTTAACTGTTAACATGAATAATGAGTAAGATTATTTTAGCTTTAAAATAATAAATGAATGTCAATAAATGGCTGATATACTCAGACAGCAAAAATAGTTCACTGTAGAAGTCTTTTAAATACTTATTAAAATCATCCTCTTTTCTTAAGAGGAGAGAAAATAATTCCTTCTGAGGTTCTCTTTGATAACAGGATCTCATATAAAGGGAAGGATCTTTGATTATTTTTAACTTCACCATTAAGTTAAAGACAATTTAATTTCCATAGTGTTACCTGAAGACTAATGATGTCTGCATCCCAGTTAACAATTTCTTCCATAATTCCCTTTTTTCTGTATTCCCAGTTTAATGCCCAGGATGGGCAATAGCCATATAGCTGCCGGGTAGCGTATTTATCACATAAAACATTATAACACATAACCGTGAATGATGCTAAGAAGTGGGAGAAAAAAATAGACAAAGGGGAGAGAGTTAGGCAACTTTTTCTAGAACAGAATCATGTGTACATCTGCACAAGCACACACATTTACTCCAAATACCATCATTGAAAAAACACCTAGAAAAGGACTAAGGTTTTGCTAAACTATAATCTTTTGAGTTTTGCTCTGAACACAGGCTCTCTCCTAGGATCTTCTATTATTTTTAAGTTCACCTTTAACTTCAAGGCAATTTCATCTCTATAGTGTTATTTAATGACTTTTTAATAGTCTAGGATCCATCATAATGATGTTTAATAGTCTAGAATTTAACTTCATATGTGAATAAATTCAAATTTTAAATCAGAATGCTAATTATTTGCTGATAAAAGCTTCTTTGTATAAGAGAAACAAGTTCAATTTTGGTTTCATTCTTATTAGAGGGCTCTAATTTTGTTACTTATTATCAAAATATTCATACCTAATTCTTTTTTGGGCCTCTTAGTGCTCTTGCTCTTATTACTTAGTCAGACAAGTAGAACAAAATTTAGATTTCTTTGACAATCAAATTTTATTTCTGATGAAAATTTCTCATTTTAAAAGTCTCTGAACTATAAAAGAACTGTAACTAATAGTCTGGAGAAGATGGTTTGCATTCTTGGTACTCAGAAATGTGCTCTAAGGCCCAGTAGTATCACTTGGAAACCTAGAAATGCCAAATCTCTGGATACCCACTGAATAGAAGCTGCAGTTTAAAAACATTCCAGGGGATTTAAATGCACATCTATGCTAATGTCTGAAAAGCTCTAATTTTTACTAGTTAATTCTCCATCTTGCATGCTCACTAGAATCACTTTGTAGAGCTTTGAGAAAAACAGCTGATGACAAGGATGGACTCCATACTAAAGTCAGAATATTAGACTCTGGGCATTTATATTCTTAAAAGGTGTACCAATTGATTACAGTAAGTAGACATGGCTGAGAATCACCTATTTAAAGAAAATGTGAGGAATCCAAGGTGAAGTTAACACCTAATTGAAGGTGGTGCCATTTGACATGAAGAGCTAGAAAATGGTATTTTTAGATCAGAAAGGGAATATTTACACACTAAGAAAAGCTAAGTATAAAATAAATTCACCTAATTCAAGTCTTTGTTGAAAATATTAGCTGTTCTTTTTAACTAGACCATCATTGTATATCTTGATAACAGAAGTATTCACAGTAGCACTGACATATTGACTCCTGTAAAACTGATACTATGGTTCTATGGTTCTACCTCCTCTAGAATACAAAAAAACTGTAGTGTATACTTCTCAGTATTATTAAAATGCAAACAGATAGGTTACACATCCTGCATTTCCTAATACTAAAACAAACATTATATTCTGAATCTAACTTTAAAAAAGAGCCAAAACCTCATAAGCAGAAGGGTATTACCTTGGCCAAAACATACACAATACGTTCTAACTGTAATTTACCCTTTAAAAGTTAATAAACTAGGAATATTCGGTTACTCGTCTAACCTACACTGAAATAATTTGAAGAAAATTTAAAAAAAGAAATACCAAGATCCGAAAAACACTTAATGAAATTAAATATAATGAAAATTATTACTTATATGAAAAAGTTATTTAAATAAACAATTTATAACTTATTTTAAGTAAAATTCTGAAAGCTAAAATTTCTAATATGTAGTAAGAAGTCTTATAAATGTCAAACTGGTTTTGGTCCCCATAAAGAAATAAAGGTTAATATTTTCTACATCACTACTGTTCTAGATATACCTGATTAGATCCTTAGATTGCTCAAATACCATTTCTACAATCCTGTTGACAGCTCCATTAAGTTAACTTATCACTAATGTTAAAAGTCTGGGTCTCAAAAAAAAAAAGTACCTTAATAGTTTAGTTTTGTCAGAAGAAAACTCATTACTAATCATTTTTCTTAAATCACCCAAGACATAATGAAAAACTGTATTATAATACTTTTAGCCCAGAGAGGTATATAAATATGAAAGATAAAAGTTACTTGTACATAGGCCTATTTTAATGTAAATCTTATTAAGTTTATCCACAGGCATTTTTATAAATCACTTAACCATGAAGGGTAAAATGAAGGCCTATTAATTATAGACCATGAAGTCCAAATGGTATTTCAAGCATGTCTGAAAAAAACTCAAGGAAGGATGAGAAAAATTACCTGATGGCAGAATTTGGTCTCGTTCTTTTAATGCAATCCATGGCCTCGGAGGAAGCTGCTCTGGATGAACTGAAATACATATGTAAACATATCATAACTTCATGTGTTTGAAATTTAATGACGATTATGAACTTAAAAGGAAATTTAAGAAGATCTATGCAGAACATAAAATCAGTACCAGAAAAAGGACACTAGGGAACTCATTAATGGTATTTCCACTTGTATGCTATTTATGAAAAGTACCTATTAAAACCTTAAGTAAAATCTACAAGTAAATTGTGGTGATTCAGCCTTGTTCCCTGCTGGGAGATTAAAGCTATGTTAAATTCCCACAAAATCATTAAAACACTCAAACATTTAAAATACATATATATATGTATAAAAATGACTGAATTTTTAATGGGGTTTTCATTTTCTGTTCTTACTTTCTGTTTCATACTATCAATGCAACTCAAGAGATCAGAACTACGTTACACAAGAAAAAATGACTTGTTAAATATTAATTATGGTTATCAATACCATGGAACTAAATGCTGCCCAATTATCAGATACAAGAAAACTCACTAAGCTAAGATTTAACTACCTCCTTTTCTCCTTCTTTTTAAAAAATCTTTGTAATTACAGAACAATGTGACTGAAATGTGCAGATTTGCCAATGGTATTAGTGGCTAAGAAATGTATTCCTTTAAAACAAAAACTAGCCCCAAATAGAATCAAGTAAGGAATCAAAATGAAGACAACAGGAAAACTTTAAAATACTTGTAAATTAAATAACACACTTCTAAATAATTAGGTCAAAGACAAAGTCTCAAAGGAAATAAAATTCATTGAAATGAATGAAAATGAAAATTATACTCCAAATTTTGTAGGGTGCAACAAAGGTATCTGTCAGGAAAATTTGTGTTGCATTCTTATATCAAGTAAGAGGAAAGATTTTAAATCAACAATCAAAGTTTCTACCTTAAATAGGCAGAACAAAATAAACTGAAAGCATAAAGAGGAAGAAAACAATTAGATACAGATATAGAAAGGTTAAAAAACAAAGAAAAGACAACAATGCAAAATCAAAGCATAAATAGAACTTGTGGTTATTTTTTTCATGTACTTACAACAGTATCAAAATAAGTTTTAAAAGAGAACAGCACAATGACAAAAAGTTTAAATAACCAGGAATATGAAACAAATGAAAATATACCCATTGTATATGTAATTTAAAAAGCTGAAGAATAGAAACAAACCTATAGTCAAAATGGGAGATTTTATTATACCTCTACCAGTAATGAAACCAAAGCAATTATTAGATATATATAGAACATATTCAAGCAATATAATTAACAAACTTAACTGGTATGTATAGAATTCTGCACCAAACAACTACAGAAGGCATATTCAAATGTACACTTAATATCTATAAAAATTAAGAATGTACTGGGTAATAAACAACATTTAAAATTTTTTAAATTAATCACAGTATGTTCTCTCACCACAATGGAATTAACCTGGAACTCTTTGATGAAACTAGAACTTTCTTGAAAGCAAAGAAACTAATGACAGGTATTAGAAAAGATGCTGAACTAAATGAAGCAATACAAAATAAAACTTGCTGGATACAGCTAATACATGACTATATTAGAGAAAAAAAAACTAGAAAGGTTAAAGATTTTGGTTTTGTGGTACATTAGAAAAAGAGCAAATGAAACCCAAAGAAACCAGAAGGAAGAAATAAAGAGAAATTAATGTATTTAAAACAAACATATAAGAGAACTGCAAATGAAGCCAAAAAGTTAGTTGTTTTCTTTTTCAAAGAAAAATATTCATCTATACCTAAGGAAAAGACTTTCTATGAAGTAAAGAGAACACAAACTAATATCTCCAGTAGAAGAGTCATCACTATACAACCTATGGACATTAGATCATAGGAAGATATTCTCAATCATTTTGTGCCAATAAACATGAAGTACAAATTTCCAGAAGATGCAACTTTCAGAAACTGACAGAATAATGGAAATCATAATAGTACTAGAGTTACTGAAGAAATTAAATCAGAAATGTAAAACTTCAAAAAAATAAAAAAAGAAATGTAAAACTTCTTGTAAAGAAATATCAGGCCCAGATGTACTTACCAAATATTAGGAAAGAAAAAACACTAACCTTAAATAATTCCAAATAACAGCAATCTAAAATTCTAGACAGCCAGTATATAACACTGATATCAAAACTTGACAACAATGAAGAAAGAAAATTACTGGCCAACCTGACACATAAACACTTCTAAGCAAAGCATTAGCAAAGTGAACTTAAAGATATGTAAAAAGGATAACCATATATTACAACCTACTTGAGTTTATTCCAGAAACACAAATGTGACGAAACATACAAAAGTCATCCAACATAATTGTAATAATAGCTTCAGAATAAAGGATAAAAAAAAATCTAGTCATTTTAATAGACAATGAGGATTTGGATAAAATTCACTGTCTACTCAATACCTCTAACAAACCAGAAATAGAAGAAAACTTCCTTAACTGGATAGTTTAACAATATTAAAATAATGAACATCATGTTTAATAAAAGTTAGCAAAATATGAAACTTGACAAGGATGCTCATTGTCAACTTTCAATTGGAATTTTACTATTGGTCCTAGCAAATGCAGGTGCTGTGCAATAAGAAAGAAAAAGAAATAAATTATATAAGGATTTATACAAAGTTATAAAATTGCCATTACTGGCAAATATTATGATTATACAAATTGGGATAAAAATGCATTAGAATTGAAAACAGTATAGCAATGTGGCTGAAAATATATTCTGTCAAGGCATTTAGCAAGTGTTTAGTAGTGTGGCTCAATACCAATAAATATGTAAAACTCAATTCCATAAATCAGTACCAAGATAGTTAAAAAAAAATTTAAAGACCATCCAAAAAGTCAAAGTTAGAATATAAAATGTGCAAAACCACTAAACAGAGACCTAAAACTCCATACTAAGAGAAGTGATATTAGACATAATAAATGCAAACATGTCAATTCCTCCAAAGTCATCTCTGAATTCAATATAACCCCAAATAACATACCTACATTTTGAAGAGGAGAGAGATTTAAAAATCTGATTTTAGGGAGTTCCAAGATAGTGAATGGCTGGATAAACCCTAGAACACTGAGCTCCCACAAGCCTGAAACATAACTTTAGGGTTCCTTGGCAGCAAAGGTAGGTGGTCTGGCTAGTTTACTAAATAAGAGGTTGCCAATACATAGGCAGACCATATCTACAATAACCAACTTCTAAATAAGCCTTTTAAAGTCTAGACCTGCCTTTGGTGCAGGTGCCGCCAGCAGTGCTGCCATGCTGCTGGTGGGAGAGGGTTTTTGTTTTTTTCCTGGACCAGAGAAGCTTCCAGTCACAAAAGACCATCCATCCAAAGTGCTAGAAATCAACATGCAGCACTGTGAGCCCTGCAAGAGCCTGGGGACTCCTGGACTGCTGAGAAAGGGAACAATCACTGCCCATACCAGAGAGAGGTGCTAACTACAAGCCATTCAGGTGAGCTTGTTGCTTACCACATACTCCAGCTCAGTTGGCAAGCATGTGATTGCACACCCTGCCTGATAGGGGAGTGGCACCATGGTGACTGGCTCAACCAGTGCACTTCTCTATACAAAGGCAGTACAGAAGCTGGGTAGCCAAACCTGACCCCAGTCTATGGGAAATAATAACCTCCAAGAAGCCTAGTAGGCAGCTCAAACTAACTGCCTTCCCAAAGAACTTTTGAGCAAACAGCCTGAGCTAAAGGTCCCAGACTTGCCCAGCAGGAAAAAGCGGCCACTACTCTCTGCTCAGCCCACATGCAAAAACCTCAGAGAGAAGTTACTACAAGAAGGAGCAGGAAACACTCTGGAACTAATAGGCATAGGCAAAGACTTCCTCAATAGAACCCCAGCAGCTCAGCAACTATGAGAAAAGATGGACAAATGGGACTTCATAAAATTAAAAGGCTTCTGCACAACAGAAGAAATGCTCTCTAAACTGACGAGACCACCCACAGAGTGGGAGAAAAATATTTACCAGCAATACATCAGACAAAGGACTGATAACCAGAATATACAGGGAACTTAAAAAACTAAACTCTCCCCAAATCAATGAACCAATTAAGAAATGGACAACTGAACTAAACAGAACTTTCTCAAAAGAAGAAATTCAAATGGCCAAAAAACACATGAAAAAATGCTCACCATCTCCAGCCATAAAGGAAATGCAAATCAAAACCACACTAAGATTCCACCTCACCCTGTTAGAATAGCCATCATCAAAAACACCACCAACATGTGTTGGTGAGGATGTAGGGGAAAAGGAACCCTAGTCTACTGCTGGCGGGAATGCAAGCTGGTGCAACCACTCTAGAAAAAAATTTGGAGCTTCTTAAAAATCTAAACATAGATTGCCATATGATCCAGCAATCCCACTCCTGGGATATACCCAAAGGAATGCAACACAGGTTACTCCAGAGGCACCTGCCACCCATGTTTATTGCAGCTATTCACAATAGCCAAGTTATGGAAACAACCAAGATGCCCCACTACTGAACAAATGGATCAAGAAATTGGTATTTATACACAATGGAACTTTACTTAAGCCATGAAGAAGAATGAAATCTTACTTTGTAGGTAAATAGATGGAACTGGGAAGAACATCATTATGATCAAGGTCAGTCAGTCTCAGAAAACCAAAAATCGTATGTTCTTCCTTATATGCTTTAGATCTTTACAGATTTTAGGTCGTAGGGCAAATGCAGCAATGTGGTTGGACTTAGATCACATGACAAGGGGAGAGCACATACAGGAGATATAGGAATAGGCAGAAAACCAAAACATGAAAGTGTTTGATGTCCCACTCAGAGGAAACTAATTACAGAAACCTTAAAGGCAACAAAGTTATCATGAGAAGGGGATCAGGAAACCCAAAGTTGTAAATCAGTTAGAGATGACATCAACATGGGTTCATTAACACATGGTAACAAGAAACCAATGTTGAATCTCTTCAGTATAGTTATCCCTTAACTCAAACTAGCAAAA